ATGTGAAATGTGTAATTGCCGCATACATGAGAAGACAAAATATTTGGATAACACATTGGTATCTAATGAAGCCAACTCAGTTTAAAAAAAACAATTATGGAAGATTTTACATTCACTAGAATGGTTATTGAAGGTTATAGAAGAAAATTCTACAATTAACCAAGATTTCAAATACGCTAGAATGCTTAACTAATGTCAATTTCAAGTAAAAAAAATTATAATTTACACTAACGGATGACAAATGAAAGAATTAAAAAATGTTAAATTTAGGTGTAAAATTAGTTTTGCAGAAGTGTGAAATTAGTTTTACAGAACTGTGTGAATAGCTTATTTTGATGGTGAAGGTGATCAGTGTCCCTACTTATTAAACTTCACAATGTATTTTTTCTCATAAATGTGACATAATAACCTGTGAAATGTGTAATTGCCGCATACATGAGAAGACAAAATATTTGGATAACACATTGGTATCTAATGAAGCCAACTCAGTTAAAAAAAAAAACAATTATGGAATATTTTACATTCACTAGAATGGTTATTGAAGATTATAGAAGAAAATTCTATAATTATCCAAGATTTCAAATACGCTAGAATGCTTAACCAATGCCAATTTCAAGTAAAAAGAATCATAATTTACACTAACGGATGACAAATGAAAGAATTAAAAAATGTTAAATTTAGGTGTGAAATTAGTTTTGTAGAGGTGTGAAATTAGTTTTACAGAACTGTGTGAATAACTTATTTTGATGGTGAAGGTGATCAGTGTCCCTACTTATTAAACTTCACAATGTATTTTTTCTCATAAATGTGACATAATAACCTGTGAAATGTATAATTGCCGCATACATGAGAAGATAAAATATTTGGATAACACATTGGTATCTAATGAAGCCAACTCAGTTAAAAAAAAAACAATTATGGAAGATTTTACATTCACTAGAATGGTTATTGAAGATTATAGAAGAAAATCCTACAATTAACCAAGATTTCAAATACGCTAGAATGCTTAACTAATGTCAATTTCAAGAAAAAAAAAATTCATAATTTACACTAACGGATGACAAATGAAAGAATTAAAAAATGTTAAATTTAGGTGTGAAATTAGTTTTGCAGAGCTGTGTAAATAGTTTATTTTGATGGTGAAGGTGATCAGTGTCCCTACTTGTTAAACTTCACAATGTATTTTTTCTCAGAAATGTGACATAATAACCTGTGAAATGTGTAATTGCCGCATACATGAGAAGACAAAATATTTGGATAACACATTGGTACCTAATGAAGCCAACTCAGTTAAAAAAAAAACAATTATGCAAGATTTTACATTCACTAGAATGGTTATTAAGATTATAGAAGAAAATACTACAATTATCGAAGATTTTAAATACGCTAGAATGCTTAACCAATGTCAATTTTAAGTAAAAAAAAATCATAATTTACACTAATAGATGACAAATGAAAGAATTAAAAAATGTTAAATTTAGGTGTGAAATTAGTTTTGCAGAGGTGTGAAATTAGTTTTACAGAACTGTGTGAATAGCTTATTTTGATGGTGAAGGTGATCAGTGTCCTTACTTATTAAATTTTACAATGTTTTTTTCCTCATAAATATCACATAATAACCTGCGAAATGCGTAATTGCCGCATACATGAGAAGACAAAATATTTGGATAACACATTAGTACCTAATAAAGCCAACTCAGTTAAAAAAAAATAATTATGGAAGATTTTACATTCACTAGAATGGTTATTGAAGATTATAGAAGAAAATCCTACAATTATCCAATATTTCAAATACACTATAATGCTTAACCAATGTCAATTTCAAGTAAATAAATATTATAATTTACACTAACGGATGACAAATGAAAGAATTAAAAAATGTTAAATTTATGTGTGAAATTAGTTTTGCAGAGGTGTGAAATTAGTTTTGTAGAACTGTGTGAATATCTTATTTTGATGGTGAAGGTGATCAGTGTCCCTACTTATTAAACTTTACAATGTATTTTTTCTCAGAAATGTGACATAATAACCTGTGAAATGTGTAATTGTCGCATACATGAGAAGACAAAATATTTGGATAACACATTGGTACGCAATGAAGCCAACTCAGTTAAAAAAAAAAACAATTACGGAAGATTTTACATTCACGAGAATGGTTATTGAAGATTATTGAAGAAAATCTTACAATTACGCTAGATTTCAAATACGCTATAATGCTTAACCAATGTCAATTTCAAGTAAAAAAAAAATCATAATTTACACTAACGGATGGCAAATGAAATAATAAAAAAATGTTAAATTTAGGTGTGATATTAGTTTTGCAGATGTGTGAAATTAGTTTAGTAGAACTATGTAAATAACTTATTTTGATGGTGAAGGTAATCAGTGTCCCTACTTATTAAACTTCACAATGTATTTTTTCTCATAAATGTCACATAATAACCTGTGAAATGTATAATTGCCGCATACATGAGAAGAAAAAATATTTGGATAACAAATTGGTACCTAATGAAGCCAACTCAGTTAAAAAAAACAATTATGTAAGATTTTACATTCACTAGAATGGTTATTGAAGATTATAGAAAAAAATCCTACAATTATCCAACATTTCAAATATGCTAGAATGCTTAACCAATGTCAATTTCAAGTAGAAAAATATCATAATTTACACTAACAGTTGACAAATGAAAGAATTAAAAAATGTTAAATTTAGGTGTCAAATTAGTTTTACAGAGGTGTGAAATTAGTTTTACAGAACTGTGTCAATAACTTATTTTGATGGTGAAGGTGATCAGAGTTCCTGTGATCAGAATTTTTAGAGCCGGCTCCTTGCCAAGCAAAAAAAAAATAAAAATAAAAGAAAAAAAAAATAATGGACAGCTGGCTCAAGAAGAAATGTGGAGATGGCTCAACCCAATTTTTTGGAGACGGCTTAATTAATTTGTAGAGCTGGCTCTTTTGGGCTTTTTCAGAGATGCCGAGAGATGAATATTTAACGGAAGACAGATTTAACGGAATAATGCGTTTTGCACCATTTTAGTGGAGCCCACAGACATATTACAAACTGAAGCACACGTGGCCAAATTAAGGCCTTTCATCAGCTCACAGCAGGGGACTGCAGGGTAACTCACAGCAGGGGATTTGAGCCCGGGTTGGCAACTTACATTTGGGTGCGAATCACCTGTAGTGAGATTCCTATACAGTTTCTTACTATAATTGGCAATATTATTTTTTAGTTAACGGACACTAAGTCGTAGCCAATTACACCACAACATTTCACCACCATTTATAACTAACGTCACAGAATTTAAAAAGTAACATCGCCATTTGCAAAAGGAAACATCACCACTTTTAATTTCAAATAACACCACCATTTATAAGTAACATTTCACCGCCATTTATAAGTACCATCACACAATCTAAAAAGTAACATCACTACCATTACCATTTAAGTAGTAATTGCACCACTATTTGTAAGTAACATTTCACCACCATTTATAAGTAACATCACAAAAGTCTAAAAGTAATATCACATAGTCTAAAAAGTAACATCACCATTTGTAAGAGGGTAACATCACTACTTAAATGGTGGTGATGTTACTTTTTAGACCATGTGATATTACTTTTAGACTTCTGTGATGTTACTTATAAATGGTGGTGAAATGTTACTTGGTGTAATTGCCAAACACACTCTTAGTGTCTGTTAAGTGGAGTAAAACGTGGCCAAACCAAGGCCACTTACTGCTCATTGTAGGAAACGGCATGGGAATCGCACAGCAGATGATTCGCGCCCCTTACATTTTGGTGAATAGGACAACAATTAGAAAGATAAGTCCGAAGATTTACTGTTTGGAAACAAGAAATTGAAGCAACTATGCCCGGTCCAAAATCTATTAATTAGTGCGTGTATTGTGGGACGATACATTTGCTTTAAAAAAAAAAATAAAAAAAAAAAATTCTCTTGGAACCTGATTTGATGATCAGATAAAATTTTCACTCTCCGTATTTTCTAAATTTTTATTTAAGTAACTTTTTCAGTAATCATGTTATAATTTGTGAAAACTTATTTGGCTAAAAATACAATAGTAATGTAGGCCAAATTCCTTTGGTCTCAAATCGATGGACTAAAGTTGATTTTGATGGATTGACCAACACACGGGAATGTGAAAATTCTAAGTCTGAGGATGATTTTTATTTATTACTTGTATTTATTTATATCTTAAAAAACAATACAGATATACACTCATTTTATCTTTAGAGGAATTTAAACTCATGTCACCTTCTATTTTGAAAGACTAGGACGTACCAGATATATTTATGTGCAAAAATATGAATAAAACCTAACACATTTATTCACATGTCAAAATTATGATCGGTTAGAATTATGTTAAAAATTTTCAAATAAAGGGGCATAGCTTAAATTAAGCCATAGTATTGGAGAGTGGTGTAATTAGGGGGTGCGAGTTGGACGGGTGGACTCAAAATCAAAACTTTTATTTTTTATTAATTTATTTTGAGTTAAAATTTTGAATAAATTATACTCACCTCCCAAAAAATTTAGACAAATTACGCACAGCTAGATCCATTAAACCCGTTCACCTGCTGTTAGAAGATGTTTTGAGTATGAAAAGTCTATAATGCCTTGAGGAATGACAAAATTATTATAAAATTTGGTTAACCGTAGCGTTGGAAAGAAAAAATTTAGGATTGACCACACTCATCAAATCAAAAACCGAACAAACGTATGTAGGGCCCGCCCCGGGCCTAGGCGGTCGCCTAGGGCCTCCAAATTTGAGGGGCCTCAAAAATTGGCCCAACCTATATAGTTATACTAGGCCTCAAAATTTGGACCAAAACAAAAGTTGATCCTACATAAAAAAATGCTGATCAGAAAAAAAAAAAAAATGTTGGCCCATAATAGAAACAAAACGTTTGGGTTTATGGGCTCAAATTTTGTTCAGTTCGGCTGTCTTTTAGCCACTGAATTTCTTTAGCCATTTTTATGTTTTTTCGAATCAAGAAAAAAACAAATGAAAAAAGGAACTGTGTTCTAGGGCTCCTGTCGCTCCTCGAAGGCTCGAAGTCGAAGGGTAAGATTAGGGTTTGTGTTTGGGAGATTAGCAAGATTACAATTAAGTAACTCCGCGTGTTTATGGAATCTTTTATCTCCTTTATTTATTTATTTTTTATCATAGTTGTATATCTTCTGCATGTATGCTAGTGTTTCGATTTTATAGATGAAGCACGTGAATGATTTCGATAGTAGCTAGGGTTTCTTCGAAATGCGAGAAGCATATTGTTGATGAACATTGCTTAATTTTCAGATATGGTTTAAATTGCACTTCATACATTGAGGCATAGTGGGAAAAGATACCCTAGTACCAAATCGTCCACCGCCAGCGGCGGCGATTACTCTCCAGGTTTTTTCCCCCTTTCTCTCGCTTCCTCTCTCTTCTCCTTCAACAATCTGGTCCATTTCTCACTTCTCCTATCATTTCATATTTCACAACTACTATCGCCCCACTAACCACCACCCATTTTTAACACCAAAACTGCACTTTCACCACCGCCACAGCATTCAAACTCCCTCTTTGTCATCGTTGTTCACAGCCCCCACCACCGCCAGTGGTCATAGAAGCTGCCGCCGCCAGCACTGTGCATCTTACACAAAATATGCTACTTACACAAAATACCTCATCAGTACCACTGTTATGTATAGTGTCTGTACATGGTGTTGGAAATTCTATACTGTTGAAATATCTATGTAGTGAATCTCTTCTCACCGTGTTTATTGTGTGTGGTTGCTTTATTTCCCGCTTCTGCCGTCCAAACATATATAAACACACAGTTACACATTAAAAAATTGAAGAGTTGGTGCATTGGTGGTGGCTACTGCATATATATATATGTGTGTGTGTGGCTCTATTTCCCTATTTCGTGTGTTTTGATTGAACTTATGACTTGTATGTGATGAATGATGAACATGAAGGAGGTTTACTTTAACCTATTTGTCTTATTATTTATTTTTATTTTGTTTATTTGTTGGTTTTGTGCTTAATTGCTTAAATGATGAATTTAATTACTTGTGTAACATAGTTTCTTTTTGGTTACATTTATGGTATTGTAGATAAGATAAAATGAGCAAAAATTAAATTTGATAATGTAATATATATTATATTATTTTGGCATTGTGAGATACTATGTGTTGATGTATTACCCTTGCCCTTTTTTTAAATTTTTTTTTAATCATATATACGATTTGAGGAGGTTGTTATGTGTTAATTATGGTCTTTGTTCTAATGGATTATTAGTAGATTATAATTTCCAATGATTTATTCCTTTGAGCCATTGCAGTTTAGCTGGTTTCATGGACGGAGTAGAGAGCATATTAGATGCCATATACGAAGTGGATAACTTGGAAGATGTCGAGGATGTTGAGATGCTTGATCTAGAAGAAGGAGAACTTGTGGAGCAGAACTCACAAATTGAACGGGGACAAAGCAGTGCTGGAGATGTTAATGTAGTAAATCAAGAATCTTGTAGCAAGAATCGCAAACGTAAGAATAATAAGAGGAAGAATAGGAGAAGAAAAGGTGGTTCAGGGCCAAATGTCACAGATATTAACAGGTTTTTTTGTTCTGCCAAACATTCTCATCTTTTTGGTTATGTAAAGAAATGGTGTGCTTCATGTAGGTATTTTCTAATTTCCTGTTTATTACCAAATGCATATGATAAATAAAACCTAATTTTACATTACAACCAGTTTATTATATTTCACCCTGGGCCTTTCAGTACAATAGACCTAATGGTAAGGTGGGTTGTTATTTTAAGATTTTTGGCCCTTTCAAAAGGGCAGTTTATTTTCAGAACAAGAAATGTCATATCTTGAGCTGCTCTTTTTCTTTTTCTTTTTTCTTTTCTTTTTTTTTTTTTTGTAATTTAGTTTAGTTTTTTTATAAGTATATGTTGAGCTGCTTTCTAGATGACAGAGTTTTACTACTCTTTTATTCCGAATAATAACAATGTATCAAGGTAAATTTTCTGATAATAATAATGTATAAAGGGATGTTTCTGACAGAGTAGATAGATGTGCAGTTCAATTTTGAACTCAAGTTAAAAAAAGAAAACATGTACACAACTACTTGAGGTTGGCTCCACAATCTTCTACTGGGGATGGCAGATTTACCCACCCAGATGGGTTCCCGTCTCTACCTGTCCTACTGACAGATTTGGGTTACCTAAATCAAGTTAGGGGTGGGTTTAGGGAAGAGAGTCAAAACCCCAACTTACCCTGATTTAGATTTGGTAACAAAAAAAAATATATGTCAATAGTTGTTCTTTGGGTTTTTCCTTTCATTCTTTTTAGGATCATCTGAATTTTTACGTACAAAGTTAAGAATGTATACATATAATTGTTTAAGCATTTGCTTATATGTATATATATGCATATTAAAAAATATATTTAGGATTGGATTTTGTTTTCAAAATCACACATCCTGGGCTGGAGCAGGATGGTGGGGTTTGAGAAGTATTTTTTCTTCATGGGTTGGGTTCGCAATAAGAGTGCCTGTCGGAACCTGCCCTGTTGAGATCATACCCTCTTCCATTATTTTGCTATATTTAGGGCCAAATCTAGTGTTAAATTATTAGTCATGACATGATTTTTACTCAACTTTTGGCATTACTTGTTCTTGTAGCATCTTTAACTCGAGTCATGCTACTCCTATTTGTGTGATCCTTGGTCATTGTTTCTCATTAATAATCCGTCTTAGCGAATCTTCTTTTGTCATGTCCTCAGTAGGTACTTCCATTGTAGAATTACATCTATTCTGTTGATTTATTACTATGATAGTTGGTTTCTTTTATTGTATTCTGTTACTTGGCATTCCATTTTGTTTGCTTAAGAACGTGAATCCAACTAAAAGAAGCATTTCTTTTCCACCATTTTATGTGTTCTGTTACCTTCTCTTATACAGTTAAACTTGAAAGATGTAGAATGGTGAAAGAGGGTTATTAATTTTAATGTTGAGGAAGAGGGAGTTCATGATTGAGAACTGACTGCTGTTACATTCACGTTATGTGCAGGTTTGTTTTAGATGTTTGTAAGCGCTTGAAAGAAAGAAAATCATACCTGATATGGACTGCTGTGGGTTGTCTAGGTGCATCTGCTTTGAGTGATCTTGTCAAAGAGGTATTTTTTTTTTTTTTTTTTTAATTTCTTTCATGCAATATAGTCTTGGATCATTGTTGCACCGTATGATCATTTATATATTATTTAAAGAATTGCAAATATTGCTAGGATAAGAACTTATAAGACCATGATGCTTCTTTGCACGGAATGTGTGAGCAAATGGTATATGTATATTAATTGATATTGCTGTATGTGTGGGTATAAAAAGTTTTCAGGACTTCATCATTTGTTATTACATAAAACTCCTTTAAAATTCTCAGGTGCCAAGTCTTCTTTATTGCTGCAGAGACATGTTGTGTTAGTGATATTGATATAAAAAATGGTGCATAAGTTATTCCTCCATGGGGACAAAATGCGCTTTACCATTGTTGCCATTCTCTTTCATGAGAAGGCATTGGAAGTCGACTAATGGTTAGTGCCTGATTGTGTCAGCTAACTCGCCTTTTCACAAGCATTTATGTTGTAAATTTTAATTCTATCGTAGAAATAACAGGTCACCTGGTCTTGTGGCTGCTTTTCTTTCCTTCAATGAGGATTTTATCAAGAATATTCATCTGATCTGCAAAATTGAAAATAAAGGTAGTAAGCAGATAAGTCGGTCAAATTGCTACTGATATGCATTGAAAAAATATGAATGTAACTCTTGAAAAAGAATAAATGCAACTGCTGTCTATAAATTTTTTGAACACAAATTACTTGTGCTTTTGGTGCCGGAATATATATTTTGATGATATTACTTGTCTTGTGCATGTACTCTCTCATGTCCATGACTAATGAATGATCTATGTTATAGTTGGTTTCTATGCGTTACCCAGTATGCATCTCACATATGTATGTGGTGCTGGAAGGGATAGATTGGAGAAAAACCTAACATTTGACAATTATTTATTTATTTATTGATTTTGTACACAAAGTGGCTGCTCTTAGACCGCAACCTTAAACATTGCGCGAGGCAAGAGTTGGGATATATGTGATATCAATACGAGTATCAATCACTGTATGTGGCAAAATCTAATGACATGATAAATCTCCATGACATTGCTAATTAGGTTGTATGTTAAATTTAATTATGTTTGATGAGACTTCTTTGAGCGGCAAGATCACATCTGCATGATATCTTCAGGAAGTATGCATGTTGGTACTATGGTGGAGGTATTATATATGGTATCTGGTTGGCTGTGTTTTTGGCACTGATTGGGATAGTTTTTTTTTTCCTGTATGTTATAGCGTAAGTTTGAGTTTGTGCTATGTTAAACTTTTCTCCATCAAAATTCCACCTGTCTCTGTCCCTTTGGGTGCACAAAGTGTGTGTTAGTCTATCCCTTGCTGTACCCTCAGGCTTTTTTTCACATAGTCCCGAGTCTCCTGGCCTAGTGACTGTCATTGAGTGAGTGGGCTTAAAGTAACAATGTGAGTAGAGTACTCCTAAGGATGTTCTTCCCTTATGATCCAGCTGCTGCCGCTTTCAGTGCCCCTTAAGGTTGAAATTTTAGGAAGTCTTTACTCTTCGGCATAGGTAAAGACAGGATTGTCCCACTTGGTTTTTGCAAGAAAAGGTGAGAATCTGGGATCCAATTGATCTTGGAACAGCTTAGAGCTGACAGTGATAGTTCACTCTATTTGACGATCTAATGCTTTTCTTAGTTTCTGATGCTCAATGTTGTTTTCATACCCTCGCAGATGTCTCTTGCAGAATCGATTTCATTGCTTTTAGTCATGTGGAACTCTGAGCCGAGATATGTCCAGGATGAACTGCTTTGTTGTTTCCCATTGGTGTAGGTTGATATCAAATGATTTCACATATCATTTTGCAGTTCCATAACTTGGTACGCATATAGACACTCTTATGACTAGAAAATTTATCGATAATAGATCCTATAAGAAAGAAAAATAATTTTCAAATGAGATGGAAAAATTCAGTCCTCTGTGTCAGTCTGTTCTCTCTTTTTATTTTTATTATTTATTTAATTTTTAAAAATTATTTATAAAGCTACTGAAATTTTCAAATTCCATTATCATTGGAATCGCCAAGTTTTTATTTGAGTTTTGAATTGAAATGATATTTTCAAACCTTTTGCTTAATAATAGTATTTGATTTCATGAATTTTTAAGTGAGTTTGCACTACTATCCTTAGTAGCAGTTCTTTTTCTCTTTTTGGTTGGCAGAGGGAGGGTCTGAGATTTTTGATATTTTGATGAGATACTTAAACATGACATCCTCTTGAACAAACTGAAATTGGTCCAATTATTCCAGGAATTTTCTATAGTTTGGACATGCATTGTCTGCCTGGAAAATTACTAACTTGCCCTTTTAAGTTTTGAATATTGAAGTTTGAAATTTTAAACTCAAATGACATAATATGGAAAGATGTGAAATATATTGTTTGAAAAAGGAAAGTGGACTATTATTTTGGGACAGATTAAAAAGGAAAGCATGACACTTACTTTGAGATGGAGAAAATATATGCTTAAGAGCATGTTTATTATGATGACTCTAACTTGCATCGTTTAGGTTTTAGTGTGAAAGATTTAAGACTTTACCCCCTTGCAGTCTTATGATATCAATTTTTACTTATTTATTTATTTAATTTATTTTGTGTAGAAATTCTAGAATGCAAGTATGTGGCCAAGCCATTTTTTTTCAATTGAAACCAGGTTCCGAATTTAAATGCAAGTGTTTGTGTGTGGGCAGATTATTATGATAGAATGACATAAAAACTGTTTAACTCTGATTGCTATTCATAGATAGATGGCTGAGATATTAGCGTGGTACAAACATGTGAACACAGGGCTTATGTCTTTAGGTAAAAAGAGAATTTGGAAAAAGTTATAGCTCAAATCTTATGGGGAAAATGCATTTTTTTTATTAAGCGTGCTTGATGTAGTAACTTCTATGAATTTAATATTTGTTTGTTTTCTTATAAATATTGCTTTTTATATGTTTTACATGAATTTGTGTACTGAGGAGTCCAGCTGTTGACTATTTGAAATTCCACTGAATTTTTATTTTTCTGAAAACATGCTACAATGTATATTGTTTCTTGAGGGTTGATTTGTTATTACTTGCGCCATTTTTCCTCCATTCTTCTTATCTCCATTATGCACTTGAATATATAATTGCAGGTGGATGCAATTCAGGCTTGTGGAGGCCAGAAAACAGCTGATGGAAAACGCTTTCGGTCGGGTGGTGGCATATTATGGAACATCCTCAAAACACGCGAGCCAAATGCCTACAAAGAGATAATGACAAAAGGGAAGGAATTTGAGGTGCGTTACAATACTTTTTGTGTAAAATTTAAAAAATCCTCATCAAACGATATGCACTTAACAATGGGACTGCTTCTGCTTTACTTTTTTCAATTATATATTTATGGATACATATGCCTACATTGGAGCATATATGATATTATGATGCAGCACTTTGTGTGCATGTTCTAAAAGGAGCATTGGATCCTCAATATGGGATTATATTGCATTTTAATCCCAGTATCATGGCTCAAGAAGAGGATTTGATATTTTGTGGATATTTGGATAGCCAAGAACCAATAGATGGTACCAGAATCCAGACTGCTAATGCGGTCTTGTTTATGGCATTAGCCTAGAAAATTGATGCTCCAGACTGCTCATGTGGTCTTGTTCATGGCACTGGACTAGAAAATTGATGCTTCATTGATAATGAATTATAGTCCTACCTATCCGAAACAATATATATATATATATATATATATATATATATATATATATATATATCTGTAGTCCCCCCTGAATGCATGAAATTGGCTTGTTTTAATTTTCGAGGCGGCATTTTTTGGTAGAAAGCTGATCTAGATCCCATTCTTCTCAAATTGTGCAATAGTCATGTGTGCATTATACAATATAATTTATGTTTTCTTATCAATTATATCCATCCATTTGTGAAGCGTAATGTAGGTATCCAAATGGAAGGAAATCTACGTTCTTTACTTTTTGTCAGAATTTTTCTTCTCTTATCAAAATGCAGTCTTTCTTTAGGTCACCTAGTCATCTCATTTTATTTATGACTCAAATTGTATGACAATGCACAGATGTAAAAAGATTTTTGGGAGTTCTTCAGACGCTGCCCCCTCTTCCTCTCTCCCTACTTGAATAGTATAGCAATGTATAAATATGAATGGAAGACCAAAACAATAGGTAACTATCACATGTTATTGACAGTTTATTAATTAAATTTCATCTTTATAAGTAAATGGCCATATCACATGTTATTGCTATTAGGCCATGCAGAAATATTGTAACAATTAGAGTTTCTACTGGTTTACAAGTAAATTAATAATACAATCTAATAGACCTTTTTTTTTTTTTTTTTTGTTTTTTCCGTAGTTGGATTGGCTATACACACACTAATTTGTATACTATCTTGTCACTCTGAATACCACTGTCCAACAGTTTTGGGGGTTGTCCCTGCATTACCTCTAATTTGAGCCATAATAACAGTGCAATAGCAAAACAAGCATGTAAACCCTATTCTAATGCTTCTTTTTTAATTTTTAATTCCATTCTAATTGTTGTATATTATAACATAGCCACCATGGCTTCTCACTTCTATGAACTACGATCTAGTACACCTTTTTCATGTTGTCCAATTGTAATATGCTTCATGACTCCCTACATATTCTTTTATTTTGAAATAGTGTATGATAACTGAAGCCTTTTTATTTATATGTTTATTAATTAAGTTTTTTACACATTTTGCAGAAACAATTCAAGCAACAGAACAACAGGCAAGCACTGGTGCAGAAAAAAGAAGTTTCTTCTAAAACAACTGCCCATGCATTCACGGATGAGGCTACAGCCATTGTTTCAGATGGTGCACAGCTAGTGCCCCCTGTGGAAAACCAACTCGAACAGTCCAATGCTGGGGTGAAACACATATCTGTTTATGATAGAATACGGGTGCCTGTTACATACGACGACTTGCTTGGAGAGGAGAATCCGAAAAACAAATCCACTTGATCTTCCAAGAACTTATATATTACCAATTTCTGATTTTGGAGTTGATAAACCTTTCCTATTGTTTGATCGGACACAGATGCAGCTATTGAGGCAACAGAATAAATATTGCTTACACATCTTCGGGGAAAAAAGAAAAGGATAGGAAGAGTTCTGTTTTTCCTGTGACAAAAGAAAGAGAAGAATCCATTTTTGTTGGATAGTATGAATACTTGGTTCGTTTTGAAACTCCAGTTGAATTGAGGATTTTTGTTATTTAATTCTGAGCGAAGATTCTATACCATTTTTATTCTTTATATACTTTTGACATGAATCAACCGCTGTATTCAATTGCAATGAAGGAACAATGAACAATGTATTTCCCCTCCGATTTGCAGCATGTGAGTTACTCACACTGCTTCATACAAGAGCCAATAGTAAGAGTATCAAAGCTGTTGTAATTATTTTTTAATTAATCTTCCTATGTTTGCGGGTCATGCTCTTTTGTTGTGTTAGGACACAAGTATCTTTGTATGGGTTGATACGAAACACGAGCACGGCAGAATTATTACACAAGTAAGATGACATGCGTAAAACAATTTGTTTAATAAATGGGTCAAAAGACATGAAACGTGACAAATATAATGACATGTTTATCTAAACAAGACATTTATAATATGAATAAGACATATTTGGTTAAACAGATTAGTCCGAGTTATAAATGAGTTAGTTAATGAAGAATATGACATATTTTGTTATCGATCTAAATTCAATTAAACCAAATCCAATCCCATTTATTATGTAACTTTGCAAGTATTGTAACCTCAACTACTAATGTTATAAGGGCCAAAAAAAAAAGGATCGGGCTCCTCCATATTTCTGCTTCCATCCACCATTAAATCCAATGGTGAGGAATCTGCAATGTCAATTTTAAAAATCGATCCAAACACTATCGTTTCAAATACTTAAAGAACTCACTCCGGACTTGAGCTCTTTTACATTCCTCTTTTGCCAAACACACGCACTCTCTCTCAAATGAATTCGTTATAATTTGAGTCATGATACTAGTTATGTCCATTTGTTAAAGTAAAATAATTAAAACAATTAATAACTTGAACTGAGGTCTAAAAAAGAATTCAATTCAATACCATAATTATTTTTCACAAATATATCCGGCTAGTAGGTCTCAATGTCATTTCCTGAAATTTTATTGAAAATGGTGAAAGTACTGTGTGATGCTAACATGCCACTGTATACTCATCAACGAATAATTAGTTGGTAGGGCGGGCCTACAATCTTTCATTTCCTTCTACTGTCACGGCCCCTTTGCTTTCAAGTAAGAGCATCCATGCAAAATGAGTGGAGGAAGACTTTCAATAAAGTAAGTCTATCCTATCCAATAATGGAAAATGAGTGGAGGAAGACCTTCACTAATAAATATTGCTTACACATCTTCGGGGAAAAGGAAGAGCTCCGCTTTTCCTGTGACAAAAGAAGAGAAGAATCCATTTTTGTTGGATTGTATGAATACTCGGTTCGTTTTTGAAACTTCACTTGAATTGAGGATTTTTGTTATTTAATTCTGAGCGAAGATTTTATACCATTTTTATTCTTTATATACTTTGACATGAATCAAGAGCCGTATTCAATTACAATGAAGGAACAATGAACAATATATTTCCCCTCAGACTTGCAGCATGTGAGTTAATCACATTGCTTCGATCATACAAGTGACAAGAGCCCAGAGTGAGAGTATCAAAGTAGTTGTATTTTATTTTTTATTTATCTTCCTGTGTTTGCGGGTCATGCTCTTGTTGCGTTAGGACATAAATATCGTTGTTTGGGTTGATGCGAAACACGAGTATGACAGAATTATTACAGAAGTAAGATGATATGTGTAATCTGTTTAATAAATGATGAAAGGAAATAATCTATTTAATAAATGAGTCAAAACTTGACATGACACAACATATGACAATATAATAACTTGTTTATCTAAATAAGACATTTCTAATATGAATAAGACATGTTTGATTAAACAGATTAATCGAGTTATAAATGAGTTGGCTAGTAAAGAACATGACATGTTTCATTATCGATGTAAATACAATTTAGCCCAATCCAAACCCATTTATTTTGTATTGTGTTCAAGTCGTATAACTTTGCAAGTATTGTAACCTTAACTACTAATGCTACAAGGACCTAAAAAAAGGATCTGGCTCCTCCATATTTCTGCTTCTATCTGCCATTAAATCTAATGATGAGGAATCTGCTATGTCAATTTTAAAAATAGACCCACACCTTATCGTTCTCAGACACTAAAAAAAACTCACTCCGGACTTAAGTTCTTTTACGTTTCTCTTTTGTCAAACACACTCTCTCAAATAGATTCCTTATAATTTGAGGCATGATACAAATTAGGCCTATTTGTCAAAACAATATAATTAAGACAATTGATAACTTAAGTTGAGCCCTAAAAAAGGGTTTCAATTCAATACCATAATTATATTTCACAAATATATCCCAATATCATTTCCTGAAATTTTTATAAAAAATGGTGAAAGTATTGTGTGATGCTAACATGCCACTGTATACTCATCAATGAAAAATAATGGAAATTAGTAGGTAGGGCGGGCCTACAATCTTTCAATCATTCTACTGTCGTGACCCCTTTGCTTTCTAAAGTAAGAACGTCCATGGAAATTGAGTGGAGGAAGACTTCCAATAAAGTAAGTCTATCATATCCTATCAAATGATGATCTCCCTTGGCAACTTCTTTGCAACTGCATTAAGCAGTGATAGCATCACCCAGATGGACTAGTTAGCTAGGTCACTCGTATGCTGTGATTGGATCGATCAATACAATTGTGTGGGAATGACATGTCTAATATTGATTGGTGGGTGTTATAGCTAGGTCCTGTCTTTTTCTAGCTCATTTTATTCCATAGGAAAAATTGAATACTAGTACTCCAAATGCTACGAGATCATATGAATCCAAAATCCTTAGAATATATAAAAAGAACACTAAAGTGACCCAATATACTAATTATATTTTTATTGCAAATTTCATATTCAGAAGACCAAAAAGCATCAACTCTAACCCAAAATACAAAAACTTAAAAAAAAAAAAAAAAAAAAACCTCTCTTAAGTTGCTACTTGCTCACTTCAGTCCCATTTACAGTGCCATAGTTACCGCGACTGCAAACTATAGTTATGACATTTTAATCGACAGAATGATTATATAAGTAATATGATATTGGTAACTTGCTTAATAAATGGGTCAAGATTTTTCTTTTTTAAAACTTAAAACAATTACGCACACATCATATCTTTAATGAAATTTGAACCCCTAACTTTTTCTTTGGACATAACATGAAATAATGACAACATGCCTTCTTATTAATGCCATTGATAGTATCTGAAGTACTGAAGGCAGGCCTAAAACGACTACCTAGTAAAGCTTGAATTTCATTTTTCTTATAATTTATATAAGAGAGATCTTGCAATAAAATGAAGAAATTTTATTGAAAAAGGCGAAAGTACTGTACACTCATATCTCATATGTTTTTTTAACTGACGGGGGCAAAATTCTCGTCGCTGGATTTACCCTCACGGATGACGTTGGACGACTTTTCTAACCTCGGTCTTTGCTTTGAGCTTTCCACCGACGAACAGTGAAAATTCCAACTTCACATACAACTATAAAAGTAAATTTAAATTTCAAAAAAAGTAAGAGATGGAGGGGAGGACAAATTTTTTTTTTTTTTTTTGGTATACTGGGCCTACAATCTTTAATTTCCTTGGACTGTCGCGAGCCCTTTGCTTTCTAAAGTAAGAACATCAATGGAAAAATGAGCCACAAATTCACATTGGACGAAGACTTTCACTAAAGCAAGTCTAATCCTATCCAATCAAATGATGATGTCCCTGGGCATCTTCTTTGCAACTGCATTGAGCAGTGGTAACGTCACCCAGATGGACTTGTTAGCTAGGTCACTCATATGCTGTGATTGGATTAATAACATTGCTCGAAAGTAACATGCCCAATATTGATTGGTGGGTGTTATAGCTAGGTCCTCTACAGGTGAGAGACTTTTTCTAGCTCATTGTATTCGATATGAACAATAATACTAGTACTACTACTTTCTTCTTTCCAAGTTCCAAACTTACCATTTCTGCTATTTTGCATTATTGAGAGCATATACTACACACACTCTTTGATCTGATCAGCTATACTCGAGTGACAATGGCGGACGCACTTCTTCAAGTTGTTCTTGACAATCTGAACTCCATGATCCAACGGGAGATAGGATTGCTGTGGGGTGTTGATAAGGAGATGGAAAAGCTTTCCAGCACACTCTCTACAATCAGGGCAGTTCTTGAAGATGCTGAGCTCAGACAGCTGCAAGACGGAGCTATCAAGATTTGGTTGCGGAAGCTCAAACAAACAACTTACCATATAGATGACGTCTTGGACGAGTGTGCAACTGAAGCTGCCCGATTGAAGGAGTCTAAGCGCCAAACTCTTGATAAGGTACGCGGCTGTTTCTTATCTTGTTATTCTCCTGTAGACAATGTTCTGTTTCGTCATAAGATTGGGAATAAAATGAAGGAGATTAATGAGAAGTTGAATGCAATTGCTGAGGATCGGAGAAATTTTCATTTGCATGAGGTGGTTGTGGCGAATCGAGTTGGAATTCCTGAATGGCGTGAAACCAGCTCTCTTTTAACTGGACCACATGTGTATGGGAGAGAAAATGATAAAGAAAGTATCATTGAACAGCTGGTGAAGCATGCAAGTGAGTGTGAGGATGTTTCCGTCCTTCCTATACTTGGTATTGGAGGGCTCGGAAAAACAACGCTTGCCCAACTAGTGTTCAATGATCAGAGGGTAAGTGAGCATTTTGAGCTAAAAATTTGGGTTTGTGTTTCCGAAGATTTTGAAATTAAGAGGGTCATAAAATCAATTCTAGCATCAAACAAATCTTGCGAAGACTTAGAGCTAGATCATCTCCAAAGACAACTTCGAGATAAATTGAATGGAAAAAGATATTTGCTTGTTTTAGATGATGTGTGGAACGATAATCAAGAAAAGTGGGACAAGTTAAAATGTGTACTCGCATTTGGATCAAGGGGCGCTTCAATTGTCATCACTACTCGTCTTGAAAATGTGGCATCAATTATGGGAACGCTCCCTCCATATCGTTTGTCGGGTTTGACAGAAGATTATTGTTGGTCATTGTTCAAGCAACGAGCCTTTGGACACGAGGGTGAAGAACGTCTAGATCTTGAGGAGATTGGGAAGGAGATTGCGAAAAAGTGTGGGGGAGTGCCTTTAGCTGCCAAGGCTTTAGGAAGCTTACTGCGCTTAAAAAATGAAAAAAATGAGTGGCTTCGTGTGAAAGATAGCGAAATTTGGAGTTTGTCACAAGATGAAAAATGCTCCATAATGCCCGCACTAAGATTAAGTTACAATAATCTTCCATTGGAGTGTAGACAGTGTTTTGCTTATTGTGCCATATTTGAAAAGGATTCTAGAATCGAGAAGGATCGTATAATTCATTTATGGATGGCTACTGGTTGCATTTCATCTAATGGAACAATGGAGTTGGAAGATATTGCTAATAAGATATGGAATGAATTGCATTGGAGATCTTTTTTCCAAGAGGTGGAGAATGATGAATTTGGCAATATTGAAAGTTTTAAGATGCATGATCTTGTTCATGATCTTGCTCAATCTATTATGGAAGATGAATGCCACATGATGAAGGTTGAAAGGCCAGAGAATATGCCAAACAAGAGTACTCGTCACCTAATATCCGTTCATGACTCCAAAGTATTAGAAAATGTTGAATCTTTGAGAACATTATTTGTGAATATGTTTTCTCCTAATGTCATGAAATTTAGTACCTTACGAGTTTTGGATGCAAGCGGAACTTGTATAAGTGAGCTGCCGTCTTCAATTGGAAATTTAATCCATTTAAGGTACTTGAACCTTTCGAATAATGGCTTTATTGCCCTCCCCAACACAATATGTAACTTGCTGAATTTGCAGACCTTAAACCTCGAATGTTGTGAGAGTCTTGAGAGGTTACCCAAGTACATGAGACGCTTGACCAATCTCCGACATCTATTTTTGGAAGGCTGTAATAGGCTAACACAAGTAGCTCCGAAAATTGGGCAATTAACCAGTCTCAAGACATTAAGTCTTTTCATTGTGGATGGGAGGACTGGTTTTCGTTTGGGTGAATTGCGAGGCTTAAACCTTGGAGGAAAATTAGAGATTGAACATCTGGAGAGGGTGGAGAATTGGATGGATGCTAGAGAAGCCAATTTAATCGAAAAACAGAACATCTACAGCTTGGAATTGCGGTGGACATTTGAAGTTGAATCAGAGTCGTCATTGGCAGAAAATGCTGAACGGGTACTTACCGTACTTGACGCTCTTGAACCTCACCCAAATATGAAAGAGTTGATCATAGCAAATTATCCAGGTACCTCTTTCCCACTTTGGATGAGGGAACCAGTGCTTGAAAATTTAGTGACTGTTCAACTCTTTGGTTGTAATAATTGTCAAAATCTTCCGCCATTTGGTCGATTGTGTTTCCTAAAAGAACTGGAAATAGGGTGGTTGAAAGATGTGGAGTACATAGACAATGATGATTCTGGCCACGGTGGAGCAGCTGGAATGAAATTCCCTTCTCTGGAGAGGCTGTTTATTATTGAATTGCCAAGTTTGGAAAGGTTGTCAAGAGAGGAAGAAAAAGATGTAGTAGTATTCCCTCGTCTTTCCTGTTTGGTCATTAAAGATTGCCCTCAACTGACATTGCCATGCCTTTCGTCACTCGATCTTTTATGTGCATTGGGATGCAGCGATGTCTTATTAAATTCAATCTCAAATTTTACTCGTCTTACCGAGCTTGCGATTCAGAGGAATCATCAGCAACTCTCCTACCTGGAAGGGTCGCTACAGAACCTCACTGCTCTGAACTCACTGCATATCTATGGATGTCGTGAGGCAGAGCAAGGACTACAACGTCTCCAATCTTGTGGTTTACGTGGAATTAAAGAATCTGTTGGTGGAATGATAGAATCCCTGTCCGAGGCAAATCAGTCCTTTGAAGCCCTTACGGCTTCGACTCTTGAGGGATGGCCAGAGGTCGTTTCTCCACCGGAGGATTGTATTAATTGTAAACACCTCCATTCCCTCAGATGGCTGCAATTTTCTGACAATTTGGACTTGGTGGATTTGCCGGAGGCCTTACAGCATGTCCCTGCACTGCAATCTCTACACATCATAAATAATAAAGAGCTGACATCGTTACCTGAGTGGTTGGGAAATCTTGCATCTCTTCAACAACTGAGTATTTGGCGTTGCCCTAAGGTTGACTCACTTCCAGACACCATTCAAAGCCTAACCAATCTCACAACTCTGGTGATTTCGGGATGTTGTGAACAACTCAAAAGAAGATGCGAGAAGGAAGGGGGGGAGGATTGGCATAAGATAGCACGCATACCATATGTTCGTATAAATGAATAGCACATGCAGGCGATGGGAAGAATTACAACGAGGCAGGGAGGCAAGTGTGTCTCATCATCATATTACATGTGGTGCCCATTTCATGTTACAAAAGGTAACTTCTCAATAAATATTATATATTTGTGTGTCTTTTTTTCCTTATGTTTGTAGATGATAAAAATAGAATCAAAATTTTTGCATTTGTGTACTTCCATACAACTTAAGTTAGATTTTCTCTTATGTTATTAACAATGAAGATAATTTGTAGAGATGATGATAATTGAATGAGATTTATCTTATGATAATATTATCTGTAAGGATTGTACCAAAAATTATTTGCTCCATATCATACTAATCCGTCATCAACTCACTGTCTCTTTGCCATTATCATGTACAAATCTTCAAACTTTTACATTCTCATCAATCGGTCAAACTTTAACCTTCTCTGTAAATTAAAATTCTCTTTCTTTTTATAATTTTTCCATTTCTGTTTGTCTTGTATAATTTTATTTTATGACATTTTAAATTTTTTATTTCTTTTAACAATAGGATCACATTAATATTTTTTACCACACAATATGATTTGTGCATTATTTATTACGTAGTATGTACTAATTTGATGAAACAATCGTGACTATTATCATGAGGTCAAGCATTAATTGCATTCATTAGTGATTGTAATGGTGATTTTTTTTGGTGCTCGAAACAAAGTTAATTAGAGAATTTACGTTTTTTTAATTAAATATGTTAGATAAATACACTACTTCAGCTATAAAACACAAAGAATTCTACATGAATAGAAAAAAATGTGTTAGAGAAGTAGTAGAGTAATTTTTTTTTTATCACAAATCTAGTTAAATATATTATTACTACATTACATTTGTTTAAAACAATTCAAATAAAAATTAGATATAATGGGACTCACAGTAAAAACAAAGGTTCATAACATAGAGAGGCGGTTTTTTATTATTTATTTATTTATTAAAACAGCCTAGAGCTTCCTTGACAAGTGGTATTTTTTGCAGTAAACTTACGCAGGGGGTTGTGCGGGGTGGGTTTGTCCTAGAATGGTATCATTTGGTTGTCGGTATATATATTTTTATACATATATACACACATAAGTTTGCAAGGGATTGTTGACCTCCACGATTTGTGCTAAATCTATGTACACGTATAAGTAGCGTGTATACATCATGTATGTGATTTGTTCTTAGTGACTCGGTGCATGAATTGGAAGGAAGTGACTTTCATGCCCAACGGTTGGCATTCAACAAACGAACAATTGACCTCTTATATCCTCACCACCATGTCAACTATATTTTAAAAAGTGAAAAAAAAAAAATTAATGATTTACTGATTTAATAAGTCTAATCCAGAAGTTTACTTCACGAATTTTTATCCTTAATGCATTATATAATGTCAAAATTTTGATTCTATTTTTCGATTCAATTATATAATGTCAATATTATATGTATGTATATATATTCGTGTGTGTCCTTTCTTCCTTATGTTTGGATATATTTGCAAGTGAAAGGGTTGTGTTTGCATCAATAATCAAAGCTGCCTATTATTAAGGTTCTAATTATCATTATTCCGATTTCTCTCTGCAATATCTATTGCTATGATTGAATTTAAGACACTTAAAACAAGAATTCAACCTACAAAGTATTGAGTCAAAGAAATCTGCACTCTTGTCCAAAGCATCACAAAAGTCCAATTAAGTTTTATCATAAGTTTAGAATTTCTTAATTCGCAGATTCAATTATGTGAGTTTGTTGTTTGGCATTCTGAGATACTCTGCCTTTACGTATTACCTTTGCTTTTTGTGCATCACATTTAAGACTCCATCCTTATTCATGCATTTTAGATGCATGTAATTTCCAAAGTTTTCACTTTTGTTATTTTTGTAAAATCAAAGCTGCAGGAGCCTTTCAAAAAAAAAAAAAAAAGGCTGCCTTTCAGCAACTTCCTCTAATATTAGCTGAAATTTCTATAAACATTATGGAGTTCCGTTCAGCAAGGATATATAGGACCCCAAATTGGACAAAATAGAATGGAACTTGAGTTGTGAAAATGTTTATTTTGAAATATATCATATCTTCATAGTGAATTTAGATATTCAACCCAAATTAATTATTCAAAATTTCCAATTCCCTCTAATATTAGCTGTTTTTCTAACAAGACAATTCTTTCATTATTATTTAATTGACTTGATTGTAATTATTTTGATTTAATTTTTCAGATAATCTGATCGAAGTGTACTATAGATTGCCAGATTCTTCTTTCAAATTCTAACTTTACATGATGTTCACATCAGTTGAGATGGATCAAACAAATCCTTTTGTTGGAGGTACTAATTCCTCATTCTTTAACATAATTATCAAAAAAATCTGTGAATTTTATAAAAAATTACATGATCATTTGCATACTATTATTTTGTTCTGTCATTTACTTTTATATCCTTTAAAGAAAAAATGGCGAGAAATTAGAAAGAGAAAATCATGCAGCAACTTAGAATTTCGATACTAATTTCAATATCGGATGTTTTAAGTAGAACTGTGAATAGGTTTAAACCATCTATGCAGTTCCCACCGGTTAAGAGAAACATTTTTATCACCTATGTGTTCGTTACTTAACTTTTCTTAAACAGTTAAACCTGAAATCTGTAGAATGGTGAAAGAGGGTTCTTAATTTTATTTTCCTTCATTTTAATTTGTGGGAAATGGAGTTCATGATTGAGAACCGACTGTTGTTGCATTCTTGATATGTGCAGGTTTGTTTTGGATGTTTGTAAGCGTTCGAAAGAAGAAAATCATAACTGGTATGGTGCCAACAATGAACACATGCCTTATGTCTTTAGGTAAAAAGATAATGGGGAAAAAGTTCTAGCTCAAGTCTTGTGGGGAAAATGCTTTTTTTTTTTTTTTTTTTTTCAATAAGTTTGTTCGATATAGTAATTTCTGTGAGCATGATATTTGTTTGTTTTCTTATAAAGATTGTTTTTTATATGTTTTACATTAATTTGTGTACGGAGGATTCCAGCTGTTGACTATTTGAAATTCCACTGAATATTTTTTCTGAAAACCTTCCTTGCACCATTATTTCTCCATTCTGCTTATTCCATTATGCACTCGAATGTATAATTGCAGGTGGATGCAATTCAGGCTTGTGGAGGTCAGAAGGCAAATGCATTCGGTCAGGTGGTTATGGAACATCCTCAAAACACGCGAGCCAAATGCCTACAAAGAGCCATTAATGACAAAAGTGAAGGAATTTGAGGTGTGTTACGATACCTTTTGTGTATAATGTAAAAATCCTCATCCAACCATCTGCACTTGACAATGGGACTGCTTCTGCTTTCCTTTTTTCAATTATATATAGATACATATGCATGCATTGGAGCATATATGATATTATGATGCAGCATTTTGGGTGCATTCTGTTCAAGGAGCATTGGATCCTCAAAATGATTGCATTTTAATCCCAGTATCGTGGATTTGATATTTGTGGATATCTAATAAATTTTGAGGGTCTGTTGAGATTGGGAAAACCAAGAACCAATAGATGGTATCAGAATCCAGACTGCTCTGTCTTGTTCATGATTTCACGGCTCGCTGGCCTAGAAAATTGATGCTTCATTGATAAAAAATTCTATTGTCCCCCTGTATACATGAAATTGGCTTCTTTTTTATTTTTTATTTATTTTTGAGGCATTTTTTGGGAGAAATGTATAACTTCAAATGGAAGACCAAAACAATAGGGAACTATGCCGTGAATTGACGGTTTCTCAATAAAAGTTCTTCTTATCACATGTTCTTGGTGTTAGGCCATGCGGAAATATTGCAACATATACAATTTCTGCTGGTTTACAGTTATATGAATAAATTTTTTAGATAGTTACAACTATATTAATAATACAACCTAATAGATTTTTTTTTTATTACCGCAGTTGGATTGCCGAATACACACTAATTTGTCCCTGAATTACCTCTAATTTGAGCCATAATAACAGTGCAATAGCAATAACAGCATGTGAACCTTATTAATTTTTAATTTCATGACTTCTCACTTCTTTCTCGTTGTCCAATTGCAATATGCTTCATGACTCCCTTCGTATTCTTATAGGCAACCGCTGGCTTTTTATTTGTATGTTTATTATTATTTTCTGTTTTACACCATTTTGTAGAAACAATTCAAGCAGCAGAACATCAGGCAAGCACTGGTGCAGAATAAAGAGGTTTCTTCTAAAACCAACTCGAACAGAAGAGGCTACAGCCACTGTTTCAGACGGTGATGTGCTACACACTCGAGATTGTGCACCATGGTCATTGCAAGTAACTGTAGTGTAGTGCCCAACCATGTGATGTGCTACACACTCAAGTCTCCACAAGCAATTGATATTATTCCTTCATTTGCAAGAAGAGGCAGACCACAGTGCAATCATTCCTCTTTGTGGAGGGAAACTTCTCTTCCCACGCAGCGATAGCCGCGTACACCACTGCTCTTGCTGCTGCCTCCTCACTCTCTGCTGATGACACAATTGTCACTACTTCATCGTTACCAAGCACATCCCACACCTGAATTAGTCTGACATATGGTTAGTCGACACAAGTTCATTTTATTCTACTAATAAACGTTTGAAAACAAACTTTTGAACTAGATTTAATGTGTCTTATATCAACACCATTTTAAATAATTTATTAGTCTCTGGTACCATTTTCTTAAAAGACGAAATGTCTCAAATTGCAGTGTGCTCCATATGAAATATAAATACTGCGTATGTGTGTGTGTGTGATTATGCATATATTTTGTGGTATTGAAGAGCATTTAAATCACTATTTCATTTAAATGGCCCTTTACCCCATCAGTGGCAAGAACAAGAAACTGGTCTTTAGAAGTTAGACGGCGATAAGAGACATCAGGGATGGCAATTAAGCCATGTTTTTTCAGCAGAAGTCTCCGAAGGCGCGAGACATGGCTAGGCCAGGGGAATCCTCATGGGGCAACCACACTCGCTGAATGCGTGATTCCTCTTTCAGTGCCATTGTTCTTCCTTATTCGATATGCTTCCGCTGCATGAAATTATTAATAATCCATCATTATAAACATGTTCATATTCACATTATCCTGAAAAAGCTGTCAAAAACCTAATTCAACCCTCTATAAAGTTACTGCACTGAACAGAGAATGACAAAGTACTCTACGAAAATAGTGCAGACACTCTAATGATACTTCCCCGCCTTCGAAGGTTGAAGGTCGAGGGTTCAAGTCCTCACAAGGGCAAAGTGAGCGTGTGTTTGTGTTCCTTACAAAGGTAAAAGAAAAAGAAAAAAAAAGGCAAAACTATTACCGGGTAAGTTAGGCTTTAAATCAATTGTTAATTGAACTGTCTTGACTCCATCCTCAGCGATTGTCCCTAGCACTGCTCTTGAGTCACCGAGATTAGCAATAACAATATCCTCATCCTATTTAGTTTAGTTTCAGAATTAATCACAAGAAACACCATAAAGTAAAACTCCAAAATTCACATTATCTATGGAAAATAAACCGTTAATATGACTATAGTACTTTGTTTAATTTTCTTACCTGTCTTACGACAACAACAGCAGTAGTACCACTGCAAGGGCAGTCCAAATTTTCAAGAAGCTTGATCTCCTTGTCCATCACCTTGAAGGCATTAATACAGGACTTTTTCCACTTGTAAAAATTCTTTTTTGGCGCCATTTCACCTTCAACTCTCATTATTATTAAGCCTTGCAGGCAGAGCATTCTTTTGGTTCAGTAGCAAAGATGGCAAACGATTTCTGAATAGCTTGCTCACTATGTCACCATTCATTCCATGCCTATCAAACACTCCACAAAAGCTCCTCCTTCCATTCCATAGCCCTTCCAGAGGAGCAAAAAACAAAGTTAATAGACAAAAATCAGGAATGCTTTTGTAATTTTCTCAGAAAAATCTCTATTGGAAAATTTATATCTTTGTGGCATTCAATGAAAACTGGGAAAATATATACGCCTGCTTGATTTGTAACTCTGAAAACAGTTCTCAATAACTCAGAAATTATGACTAAGTTTTCATAAAACTGAACGAAGCATTCTCAGAGTTACAAACCAAGCCAGCGCATAGAGTTCTACGATTCGAGCACAACCCATAAACCGCAAAGAATTCTAAAAGCTAGAAAGGACCATTAACATACCTGGTGGAGAATTGCAGCATCCTGGTTTGACCCTTTGCTTCCTTGCTCAGAACAAAGAGAACCAAGCCTTTGAATTTCATTACTTACAGTCTCTTCATAGCATACCTGTAATGACCCGGATTTTCACGGATATTTTTTTTTTCCGTTGTCTTTCCTTTCTGAGTTCAGTTCCTCTTCGCTTAGTGTCGTCTCGAATGCTCTGGAGTGATTTCCGAGACTCTTTTCTGTTGATTGACAACTTCCTTTGAGGACCGAGTCATTTCCACATTTTTCGTTTTTCGACACTATTCACTTTTCGTCCTTTTCCCTATTTCGTCCTTTTCCCTATTTTGTCTTTTCCCCGTTTGACACTTTGTTGGCGTAACCACACTTCTTGTGTTCGGAGTGGTTTCTGACTTCATGTATCTCCATCTTAAGTGGTTTCCACGAAATACGTATCTTTACTTTTGCAAGAAAGTACTCTGGTTGCTCCAGGTGTCCATAGGGGCATAGATGCAAAGTTCTTTGAAATTATTTTCTTTTCTTGGGGTGTTTTTCGTAAATATCTTTTGAAGATATTTTATTTCAAGGGTTTTTAAGAAAATATTTTTGGAAGATATTTTCATTCTGGACCATTAGTGCAGTTTTCACTTTTTGGAGGGGCCATTGTGCAATTAATGAAAGTTATTGCTAAATGCCTTGTTTTGAGCCTGGATCCTCGTACGGGATTCATTTTCACTTTTCGTCGAGTTGTGTACTCTTAGAAATTCCTTCTGGTCATTGTTTTCCAGTTTTAGGGTTTTTGGCCCTAGTTTGTACCAAACTTGTTTTGGGCATAACTTTCTGTTCAGAACTCAGTTTTCAACGCTGTTTCTTTTGTTGTTCATATTTTATCATTTTGAATCTTTTTTGTTCACAAAGTTTTGCCATTTGAATGCATCTGCTCAAATTTTACTTTTTTGGACCCGGCGAGGCCCGTCCGGGGTACTTTTTGAGATTTCTATAAAAGGGGGGTGAGATATTTCATTTTTCATCTTCTCCCCTCTTCATGCACGACCTGGAGCTCCCATGGCAGCCCAAGGGGTGCTGCCATCTTCTCTCTCCTCTTTTGGTTCATTTTTCCTTGATGTAAAGTATTCGGTCTTAACGTTTGTTGTTCCCCTCGCCGTGCTCTACCTTTCCTCCTTATTAGAATTCAGTTTTGACCATTTCTTGAGTTTGGTTTTAAGGTCAAGTTATGATTTTGATGGGGCTTTCATGGGGTTATGTTCACGGCGTTGTCCCCGACAAAACCTAGTAGTTTCGTCGGATTCGGAGCTGTTCCATTTTGATGGTTTTTGAGATTTTCATCTCAAATTGAGGTAGGGAATGTTTTAAGCTTTTGTGTGTGTTGTATTGAGTTTTTAGTATGATTATACAACTTATATATATGCCTTGTATTAAATCTTGAAAGTTGTTAATTTTTTTTTCTTTGTATAAGATTTAAAATTCATGATGATATATAACTTTGATTTGAATTGTGGCATGCTAGAAAATCTAGTTTTAATATGTTTGTTAACATATATTAAATTGGGATTAATTAAATAAGAATTGCTCTTTTTAATTAATATTTATCTTTTGTGAAAGATTAAAGTGTATGGTCGTACCTTGTATGAAATTAAGTTGTAGTATACTTCTAAATTAGGTTTTGGCATGTTGTTTAACATACTTTAATTTGAGAGCATTTGGACAAGTATGAAAATCTAGAGATTTCAATTAAAATGATTAATTAAAATCTAATTAAGGGTTCCGTTGGCCTAATTGAGTGTTTAGCTTGATATTTGTGATAACTATGACTTATGTACTAGCATATGTTAATTTGGGATCATTTAGAGTTGTTTTAGAATTGAGAGATTTAATTATCATGATGTAATTAAATTCTACCTTGTTGCATCGTTGATTGAATCATGTAATTGACATTGATAATATGTTTAAGGCATGATTTTAGGCTTATAATAAAATTATGAGTTTATGTTTCAATATTGAATTATATTGTTATAGCGTGTAACGAATCGCACACTGAAGATTCAACATGTGATGTTATTATAGTGCGTAACGAATTGC